GCCTGCCGTGGCTACCTGGTGGCCAGCTTCGTGGAGATGCCCGAGCCCATGGAGGACCCGGCCACGGTGAGTGGGACACCGGGATGGGCAGGGAAGGAGGGCCAGGATGGCTGGGGCTTATGTGGGCACTGCTGTCCCCAGGGCGAGAGCATCACCTGGGTCATCTTCCTCATCTCCTACTGGGGCGAGCAGATCGGGCAGAAGATCCGCAAGATCTCGGACTGGTGAGCCAGTGGCCCTGCGCCACGCGTCTGGCCACGTAGAGGTTTATTTAGCAAGACCTACTCCGGACCCCCACCACGGGGGTGGGCTGGGCCACCCCGGGGAGCCCCGGCACCCCCCAACGCGTCATCCATCTGTCCCAGCTTCCACTGCCACGCGCACCCCCGGAGAGCGAGGCCAGCCGGGTGGACACCATGAGTGGGCTGCAGAGCCAGATCCAGGACCTCAGCGTGGTGAGCTGGGCGCCGTAGTGGGGACCGGGGGGGCCATGCCGGGACCCCCCATCCCTGACCCCACCGCTGGGCGCCCGCAGGTGCTGGAGGAGACGGAGCAGTACCTGGCGCAGGTGCTGGACAAGGTGGTGCTGGCGCTGCCCACCTGGCGGGTGCAGGTGCAGAAGATGAAGGCCATCTACCTCATCCTCAACCAGTGCAGCTTCGACGTCACCGAGAAGTGCCTTATCGCCGAGGTCTGGTGCCCCGTGCGGGACCTCACCCAAGTGCAGGACGCCCTGCGCCAGGGATCGGTGGGTTGCTTGGTGTCCCGGTGTCCTCATGCTGTGGGTTGCTTGGTGTCCCCGTGCCCTCGTGCCGTGGGTTGCTTGGTGTCCCCATGTCCTCATGCTGTGGGTTGCTTGGTGTCCCCGTGCCCTTGTGCTGTGGGTTGCTTGGTGTCCCGTGTCCTCATGCCACGGTTTGCTTGGTGTCCCCATGCCCTCGTGCTGTGGTTTGCTTGGTGTCCCCATGTCCTCATGCTGTGGGTTGCTTGGTGTCCCCGTGCCCTTGTGCTGTGGGTTGCTTGGTGTCCCGTGTCCTCATGCCACGGTTTGCTTGGTGTCCCCATGCCCTCGTGCTGTGGTTTGCTTGGTGTCCCCATGTCCTCATGCTGTGGGTTGCTTGGTGTCCCCGTGCCCTTGTGCTGTGGGTTGCTTGGTGTCCCGTGTCCTCATGCCACGGTTTGCTTGGTGTCCCCATGCCCTCGTGCTGTGGTTTGCTTGGTGTCCCCATGTCCTCATGCTGTGGGTTGCTTGGTGTCCCCGTGCCCTTGTGCTGTGGGTTGCTTGGTGTCCCGTGTCCTCATGCCACGGTTTGCTTGGTGTCCCCATGCCCTCGTGCTGTGGTTTGCTTGGTGTCCCCATGTCCTCATGCTGTGGGTTGCTTGGTGTCCCCGTGCCCTTGTGCTGTGGGTTGCTTGGTGTCCCGTGTCCTCATGCCACGGTTTGCTTGGTGTCCCCATGCCCTCGTGCTGTGGTTTGCTTGGTGTCCCCATGTCCTCATGCTGTGGGTTGCTTGGTGTCCCCGTGCCCTTGTGCTGTGGGTTGCTTGGTGTCCCGTGTCCTCATGCCACGGTTTGCTTGGTGTCCCCATGCCCTCGTGCTGTGGTTTGCTTGGTGTCCCCATGTCCTCATGCTGTGGGTTGCTTGGTGTCCCCGTGCCCTTGTGCTGTGGGTTGCTTGGTGTCCCGTGTCCTCATGCCACGGTTTGCTTGGTGTCCCCATGCCCTCGTGCTGTGGTTTGCTTGGTGTCCCCATGTCCTCATGCTGTGGGTTGCTTGGTGTCCCCGTGCCCTTGTGCTGTGGGTTGCTTGGTGTCCCGTGTCCTCATGCCACGGTTTGCTTGGTGTCCCCATGCCCTCGTGCTGTGGTTTGCTTGGTGTCCCCATGTCCTCATGCTGTGGGTTGCTTGGTGTCCCCGTGCCCTTGTGCTGTGGGTTGCTTGGTGTCCCGTGTCCTCATGCCACGGTTTGCTTGGTGTCCCCATGCCCTCGTGCTGTGGTTTGCTTGGTGTCCCCATGTCCTCATGCTGTGGGTTGCTTGGTGTGAGGAGGACAGCGTGGGGCAGGGGAGGTGGTGTGGGACATGGGAGCCATGTGACCCCCCACCAGATCTGGCTGACGTTCTTCGAGGGGCGCTACCTCATCCTGCTCATGGGGGCCTTCTCCATCTACACCGGCTTCATCTACAACGAGTGCTTCAGCAAAGCCACCGTCATCTTCCCCTCCGCCTGGAGCGTGGCCACCATGGCCAACCACTCCTCCTGGAGGTGGGACCCCCAGCCCCCCTGTGAACCCTGCCGGGGTCCCTGCTGGCACCGACACCCCCTCGCTCTGCCCACAGCTCTGCCTACCTCGCCACCCACCCGTCCCTCACCCTGGACCCCAACGTCACCGGTGTCTTCCAAGGGCCCTATCCTTTTGGGATCGACCCAGTGAGTGTCCCATGTGGCAGAGGATGGAGCGGGACCCTCGGTGGGGTGGCCCAGAGTCTCACCCACCTTGTCCACGACAGATCTGGAGCTTGGCCACCAACCACCTCACCTTCCTCAACTCCTTCAAGATGAAGATGTCCGTGGTGCTGGGCATCGTGCACATGGGCTTCGGCGTCTTGCTGGGGGTCTTCAACCACGTGTGAGTCCCCGTGGCTGCACCCAGGAGCTCTGGCCACCCGTGGTCACGCTAAGGGGACTCGGGCCGGACTCACCCGGGTGGGGTGGGTGAGTGGGGTCCTGATGGGAGCCCCCGGATGCGTGGGGACGCGCGGTGCCCGGCTGAGCGTGGCTGATGTCCCCCTGCCTAGGCACTTCCAGCAGCGGCACCGGCTGGGCCCGGGGCGCCCCCC